AGTAATTGGGGAGGAAGAGGGATACAGGAGGGTTCAAAACACTCAACTGTGAAAGACTGATGGGAAGTATAAAACCATTTCAGAGGCAAAGTTTGATGAGATGGCTTAAAATTCATGTATAGGTAAAACAGGAAAAAACAGCAAATAATCAACTATATGGTAACAAGGACAGACCACTGGAAAATTCAACATCCCCAAAACTCTACTATGTGTCTTAAGTGACTTCAGTTCTGTGGACAGGGTTAACATTGCAGAACAGAGCTCAGCTCTACATGACCAGATGTTTCACATTCATTTCTTAATGCATTTGTAAGGTGGCAATAGAAGCTGTGGAACTTTGTCTTCCCATCAAAAGGGCAAAGAGTAATAAAGATGTCACGCTGAAGACAAATTACAGCTACTGTACAATGAATTATGAAATAATTCCATGGAGGTCACGTTGGATTACAAGGGCCTTGTTAGGGGAAAAAAAGAAATCACACAAAAGAACCAAACACAAAAATACAGTTTAAGGGATTGTACAAGCCAGTGAAGGACAGATGAGTATCAGGGCAATATGAATCTAAAAGCTATTTGGTTCTTCTTATTTATAGCCATACTCATATTGAAAAGGTACTGATCAACCATTACCTCTTTGGAGACTGAAGAGGAGAAAAGGAGAAACATGACCCCTTTCATGGGTTCTCCATCACTCCTCACAGACCCAGAGACGTTGTAGCCTGCAACAATCAGGGGGCTGGCAGCATAAGCATTGGAACTTGTCACCCGCACCACTGTCCTGGCCTGAAATACAGAAACAAACATTTTCATCAAAAGCAGGCATCAGGTCTCATTTGCAGCACCTAAAAACAATCAGAGACTGCACATTCAACAACAGGAACAGAAGCCAGAGCAGCAGAACTCAAAGAGGGTCTCCAAGCTACTCAAGACACTAAAGCAAAGATACTTTCTAAAACATTGTTCTTCCTGCATCACTGATTTAGGAAATGGTCAGGATATCAGAGCTCCTCAAAAAGCAAGAAGTGTGGGAGGGAAGGATTTGAGCTACAATATTCTGGCAAAATGTATGGGATAGAAGATGGAAAGCAAAAGCAAAAGCTCATTTTGTCCTTCCCTGGCTGGCTTCACTATCTCCAAACTGGGTCTGTACGAGGCAGTTTCTTGACTACCCGAATTAGATGTAGAAAAACTCCAGTAACCCTGTCCACCCACAAAGCCCCTTCCTCACTCTAACTGATCCAGACAAGGTCTAGCAGATCCATCCTCTCTATCCAGGCAAACCAGAACTTGTGTAGGTTCTCACCTCTTTCAGCATCCAGGTAGGATGTGATGCAAAGATTTCATATTCGCCAGGAAGCACTTTAAAGAAAGCAAACCTGCAAGGCAAGAAAGGGATTATGTCTCTTCAGAAACAGCCACAAACACAAAAACAATTCAGACTCTATTCACATGCTAGAAAAAATACTTCAGAACTCTTACAGTCCCAGCCAGTATGGCAGAATTGAAAGGATCTTGTGCAAAATGAACAGATGAATTAAGTATGCACCACCCACACTCACTTTCCTCCAGGTTGTGTAATAGTTGTTTGTATATTTATGTCACTGCCAGCATTTCTCAGTACAACCTGAACTCCAGCAGGACCTAATGTCTGACCTTTGCTGAGAACCTGTCAAAATAAAAAGAAACAGAAGTATAAATGAATGAAAATAACATGTAGAGCTGAATTTGAATGTGTTTATGAAGGTTGAATTAGCATAAGGTGGAGTAACAGAAGATAAAGGAGTCTAACCTTTCCATTCACAGAAAATCCTGTGAACACAAAGTTAATATCACCTCCCTTTGTGCAAATGTCATTAATGCCATCCACATGGATGTCTACACTGGTTGGTTCTGGAAGAGAAGAATGATGAAACAGCATGAGAGTTAGTGAGAGAGCAACCACAAAGAAACTCTGCTTCAGCTTTAAACAACTGCCACAGAAATGTATTCATTCCAGCATGGCAAGCGTTGCTCTGGAAGCCTTTCTTCAACAAATGTAAAGCACCCCCAAATCCTGACTCTGAAAATCCTCCCTCCCTCCTCCCACTGCAGCCATTTCTGTCAAAAGCCCACATTCCTTCAAATCAGTTCAAGGGTTATTCTGTCAGTGTCTACCACCCAGCTTTACCTTCTCCAGGTACAGTAAGCACATGTCAGTTATTGAACCATGCAGTATGGTTTAGAGGTTTGGAAAAGTGCTCCATTTCCCCTGCCAGCTGCAAGTTAGAGATAAGTCCCACACTGCAGATACAGTGTCCTATTGTAAGAAGACATACAACCACTTACCAAAACTCCACCCTAGGGGAGGCTCAATTTTAAGAATGAAATCCCCCTAAAAAAATAAAAATAACTTTCTTCATTGATCTAAACTTAATTTAGCTTACAAATGAGAAAAAGTCAGAACACAAGCATCATGCTGCAGAGAGGAACACAAGACTTGAGGGCACCAATATCCACCATTCTCCTTTCCTCCTGCCAGTTCAAAGCAGCTGCCATATCTACCCAGACAGGCTGGGATGCTGGGCTCACATCCAGCCAAGAGCAGAAATTAAGTATCACCGTGTTTATCCTGCTTCCAGCACAAACCTGGCTCACAGTCAAGCAGCTCAGGGCTAGAAAGTGTTCAAATCTACCTCCACCTGCCCCAACAGATGGGCTCTACATCAGCCTTTGATATTTCCACTGGGTCATACTCGACCATTCTGCCCAAACATGGGATATCACCATTCCAATCCTCTTAAAAGCTCTGATCCAAAAGGGTATTAATCAATACAGGGATCCTATTCATATTACAGAGCACCACATGTGTTCTGCCACATGTATTCTGAAGTTCATCCCAGGAAAGGCTCAAAGGCCCAAGAATGAAATCACCAGGATCAGAAGGCATGCTACAATCTTAGATTAGGAAGGGAAGGAATTATTTGGTGGCTGGACTAGATGACCTTCAAAGGTGCCTTCCAAGCCAAACCATTTTGTGTTTCTGCCTCTGAACCCTAAGTTAACTATCTCCTTAAAAGAGCAAAAACACCTTGACTTGTATTTCATTTAATTTGAATGTAAATACCTTTCCAATCTAAGCAGACATCAAATTACTGACACATTCTGAGTCTCCTGGATCACTATTTCCATTAAACATTTTTAATATCTGCAATTAACCATTCAGGTTATTTTCATTTCAGTCATACCAAAACACCTTCTCATATACATTTATTTCCATTTCTATAGATATAAAATCTGAAAGCTTTATCTGTACTCTGCAGGAACCTGTACTTTTTGTGCAGTATTTGTACAGTTACAGCACACAGCTGCAGGCAGGAATTCAGGCTCCCAGTGCTGCAGTCGTTCCAATAAACAGCAAAAACCCAATACTGCAGCCACAGTTAGCTGGCTTTTCTCTTCATAATTAGCACTGGGAAACGAAGCCGTTGCTTTACAAAAAGAAACAGCTGAAACTTTGATCCAAACCAAACTAAGTGATGTCCTGATTCAAATGTTTCATGGGTGGGTGTTGCTCTGAGATTGAATCTGCCGGCAGATCGAGGTGGAGGCAGCTGCTGCCTCCAGCACACAGGGGACAGCGCAGGTATTTGTGAGGTATTTGTGTCTTACCTTATCATAGAGGGGAATCATGAAATACCCATTGTTCGGAGCACAGTCTGTCTGGTATTTCAGAGTACCATGTTTTGTATATAACTTAATCTAAAAGAAACAAACAAAACAGACACAAAGATTATTTTTTTTAAAGGCGAGGAGTGCTGGAACCAGGCACTTTCTAACCCAGTGCTGTAACACAGCCGCAGCAGCCGTGCCAGGGGGCAGCAGGACATGGTTTATGGCACGCAGGCTGCAAAGTGCCAGGGTGAGGAAGAGCCGCAGCTCCACCGCCACCGGTGACCGCGGCCCGGGCGGCAGCGCTCGGCACGTCCGGCAGGCAGCTGGGGCCGGCGGGGCAGCGGCGCCCACCTCGATCAGGGAGTAGTTGATCTCCACGTCGGACTTGACGAAGCCGCCGCAGCCCACGACGATGTCCTCGGAGCCCCGCGCCAGGGCGCAGCACAGCGCGCAGAGCAGCGCGGCCGCCGCCCGGGGCCGCATCCCCTCAGCGCCGCCGCCGCCCGCAGCCAGCGCTGCCGGAAGGGCCGGGCCGGGCCGGGCCGGGCCGCGACAGCGCCTCCTGCCGGCCCGGAGGGCTCCGGGCGCTGCCCGGGGCCGCCCCGCTGGACCCGCCCCGGCCCGGCCCCAATCCCGGCCCCATCCCGGTCCCATCCCGGTGATGCCTCCAACCAGGATTATCCCTCCCCAGCTGCCCCTTCGCCCCCTTTGTAGGCGTAGCTGGTGCCAGGTCACTTCGACAAAATAAATTCTTTTCAATAAAGAAAATAATTTGTGTTTCAAGCACTGCGTAAAGTTGTATCTCATTAATATAAGTATGCATCAGGTAGGAGGAGAATATGTCTTAGATGGGCGTGTTCATGTAAATTTTACTGTGTTAAAAAATGTTGGTGCTACCCCCTTGGCGTGCTGATTTTGTGGAAAGAATAAACGAAATCCTTTCTAAAATTCACGCTGTGTCTGTGCTTAGAGAGCTCCTACAAGCGGCAGTCCCGGGGGCTCCGGGAGCGCGCTGCTTCTGCTGCTGCTGCTGCTGCTGCCGGACTTTGGCCGCAGGGGGACGGGGCAAACGCGGCCGGACGGGGCTCTGAGCAGCCGCTCCCACGCCCGCCGGGACCGGAGCTCTGCCCAGCGAGGGAACGCCGCCGAGCACCGCCGAGGGTCCCGGGAGGAGCGCCCATGGGTGCGGACACTGCGCTGTGCGGGCCCCGGGACGGCCCCGCCGCGCCCCGGGTGAGTGAGCGGTAGGGGATAAGGGGATGAAGGAATGAAGGCATGAGGCCGCGGCACCGGGCAGCCCCGCGGGGCCGGAGCGGGTGCGGCGCTGAGGGAACGCGGCCTGCACCGCCATGAGGGCAGCGCTGTCTCCGCCAGGGGCGGCCGCGGAGCGAACTTTGCCTCCCCGGGACGGTGCTCGCCCGGACAGACCGCTCAGAGCGCTCGGCTGCAGTAAATGTGCGGAGCTGCGAGTGAGGACCAGCCCGGACCCACCACAGATTTGCCTTTAAAAGGGCTCTAGTGAGTCCATCAGTCCGGACTCACGTTGATTTCCATCCCCAAGGTTGATAAACTCCCCTAATAGTTTGCGAGTCATTATCTGCTTCCTCTTTCTGTCATGGGATTCCTGTCCCCAGCCTTCCATCACGTCCTTCACTTCTGCACTGTTTCTGTTTCAGGACTGGAACCAGACATGGCATACAAACATCCCAGGACTGCCCTGGTGCTTCCAGAGCTCCATCATTGCCTGGATCCCTTGTGCCTATCTTTGGATCTGTTTTCCTTTCTACTACTGGTACCTTCGGCACAGAAACAAAGGCTACATCAGGATGTCCCACATCTTCAAAGCCAAAATGGTGAGGGGTAAACCACGGGGTTTGGTCCTAAAATTATTTCAATTTTGTTGCAGAGTTTAACTTTCCTAAATTAATTATTTGGTCCTGATGATACAACTCTGCTGGGGTTTTTGACATTTACCAGCTCAGGTCAGTATAAATCAAGTTAAGTTTTAGGAAGATATGTCATAAGATCTTCTCCCCTGTATTTACATTTGATTCCCTGACACTTCCATAACATTCTCCATTCCAAACTTGATTTTCCACCCCTCCAGTCTTACTTCCCAGGCATCTTGGATCAGTTCGGTAGATTGTCCCAGCATTTCAGTTCATTCCAGTGTGTGTTTTCTGTCTCTGCCCCAGGTCCTTGGATTCATCCTGGTAATACTGTGTTTTTCTAATGTCTTCTTCATGGTGTGGGAGAAAAGCCAAGGAATCCCACGGACCCCAGCACTCTTCATTAGCCCTGCTGTGGTGGGAATCACAACGGTAATTCCTCCCTTGTTTGTCTGCAGATGGCCAAGCTTAGCCCTCCTGGGACAGAGCTTGTATTTCCCGTGGTTCGTGCTGTCTCTGAGCACAAATTTGGTGGATGTAGAAGGCTGGGGATGCACTTTGTTCCTCTCTGCTGTGTGACACATCAGGGGGTTGGAGTCAGGGCACAGCGCACCTGGCAGGAGCTGAGGTTTCAGTAGGGTTTACAAAGAGGTCTCACAACACCGAGACAAGAGTTCATTTCTCATAACCACAGTATATGATTTACTATGGTTTAGAATGAAATGTGATTTCTGTTCAATAAATCAGTGCCTATTCTCCCCTTCTGTTATTGCATCCTCATAGCCTCAGTCCTTCCAGCCTGTTGGCCCAATTGTAGTTTTATTACTTGCCTTCTCTGTAGACATTCTTGAGTGCAAAATTGCACACAAAGCTTTTCAGTGTTAGCCTCTTAGGAACAATACTGCAAGTCTGAACATCTTGAAATGTTTGGGCAAGATGTGATTTTTCTCTGTTGTATTCATTAATTTGATAACAATGTTTGGCATTCCATTACCAGGTATTTATTTGGACAAATTTGTACTTCCTCGCAGGTCCTTGCCTTGTTCCTTACCCAAGCAGAAAGAATGATGGGCATCCAGTCTTCAGGGGTCCTATTGATTTACTGGCTGCTCTCATTTGTGGCTGCACTTGTGATGTTTAGCTCCAAAATTCAGCATGCCCTGGAAAGAGTAAGTGAGATCACATACCTTTAATGTGCAGACTGAAAAGTCTCTTAACAACAGGGCTGGGTTTGTCTCATTGACTGCAAGGGGGAGAATCAAATTCTTCTTTTAAAATATGTGCTGAGAAAAATGTTCATATTTGTGGTGGATGTTTATTTGCATGGGTAGAACATGAGAAGCTCTTTCTCTGCTGGTTAAACACGGAGGTTCTTACCTCATTTTCACCAGTGTTCTGTTCCTTAGGGCTTCCTGGAAGACCATTTCCACCATGTTACAACTTACCTTTATGCTGGCCTGGTGCTAGGAGACCTTGTGTTATTCTGCTTAGTTGATCACCCTCCCTTCTTCTCTAAAGCTGACAACAATCCTGTAAGTACAAGGTAGCTTTTCCTAATGCTTTGCTTCATTGCTAAAACAGGATTTTAAATATATGGGGATACACAAGCACATGAGTATCTGGGTGATGTAAGATGCATCATTCTGTAAAAAAGCTGACAGTTTTAAAAGGTAACTGGCAGAATTTGGGATAACAGTGCTCTGTCTCTCTATGTAAGCTTTTCGAAACTAAAAGCCTATGCATACTCATGTTTCTTGTCACTGAAACCAGTGGATAGGGCTTCTATTGTTTCCCCTGGTGCTGCTGTCCTGTGCTGCAGTACTCTGTTGGTGATATTCAGTATGAAAAACTCTGTGCTTAAGAAAATAAATGTCTTTGGGTATGAGGAATTATATTATTTTTTTCTTCCATCTGAGACATTATGCAAAGTCATAGTCTCAAAAATCTTCCAATCCCATTGAGCCTCCACAATAACTTACTCTGGTTCAATGGATGGGGAGGGGGATAACTCTGATTGCTTTTCCTGGGGAAGCACAGAAGGGAACTGCATTCATCTGACACATGCCCTTTTCTACATATAAATATCACACCTGTTTTCTCTCCCATCAGAATCAGTGCCCAGAAGCCAGCAGCTCCTTTCTTTCCAAAATCACATACTGGTGGTTCTCTGGGTAAGAAAACAGAAGATGTGCTTTTGCTACAATAGCAGAAAAAAGCAGCAGCATCAGAGATCAGAGAGGGTGTAGATGGCAGCCAGTAAGAAATATCTCAGCCCCTGAGTTAGCTCATGGAGTGAGGATTTAAATTATTTCTTTAAATTATTTCTCTTGTGAGGTATTCCCACAAGGTCAAATTATAAAAATTCAATTTACTTTTCTCCAAATAGTTTAAAACACAAATTTGTGATTCTAGATAATTCTCTTCTGCCTCCCAACTACCCCTCCAGTGCCCTCCCAATCTTGAAATAGATCTCATCAATCTCAAAAGATCACTTTTGAGATTGTACACCAACCACAGCCCCCTCTGCCTGCCAGACCTTGGTCTCATCTGCCTTTCGTGGAGCCCAGAGAAAGTTAAACTGAACTTTCTTCTCCATTACCCAAGACTCTCAGTATGGATTAGAAATTAGGGCTGACTTGCAAATGCCCATTGTGCTGACAGAAGATAGCTAGGGATTAAAGCAAAGTTGCTGTTCCTGGGCATTCATTGTGGGACAGGACAGTCCTGAGTGGTGGTGTGATGTCCAGTGCTCTCTGTGGTGCACTGCCTTGCTGCCCCTGTGTTCTGAAAGTGTCACACACAGCACAGATCCTGCTCTGCTCCCCTGACTGCACTCTGTGTCCTCCAGGCTCCTCTGGAAGGGCTCTCAGCAGGCCCTGGGGGTGGATGACTTGTGGCCAGTGAGGAAGCAGGACTGCTCTGAAGAAATTGTTGCCTGGGCAGAAAGAGAGTGGAAGAAGTGTCACAGCAGAAGCCGGCAGTGAGTATTTGATCTGGAGAGCACATCACGGGCTCAGCTGGGCAGTTCTGGATGATCTAAGCAAATATACTCACAGGTACTGCTGTGTGAGTCCCTTTGTGCAAAATCTGATTTTAAGTGTAAAATCTGCTGGAGAACATCCTTTCACTCCTGGAAGCCCAGAACTAACTTTCTGTGAGAGGGGTCAGTTTTTGATGAGCTTTTATACTGGACGTAGTGTGAGACCCAGTGTGAGATATTTAGTGATTTTTTGAAGATACAATATTCCCAAGCTTTCTGCAGGTGTAGGTAACTTTCTCATTGTTTCTTCCTTCAGGAGAATGGAGTCTGCCACATTTAAAAAGGGTCAGAAAACTAAAACTGGTATAGCAGAAGCCGAAGAGACAGAGGCTCTACTACAATCAAAGCACAGTCAGAGCGGGCCCTTACTGAGAATGTTCTGGAGCATGTTTGGAACTTACTTCCTTCTCAGCACTGTCTGCTTAGTTATCTGTGATGTCTTCTTGTTCTCCACCCCAAAGGTACTGAGGTATGTGCACATATAAGATGTATTTCTGTCACATGAACAAGATTGCTGTGTGCATGAGCTCAGAGATGTATATGTCAGCATAAAAACAACGACCTTTTGAAATTCTCTCTTGCTGATGAAGGGAGCTCAGGTGTCATTTCTGCCAAACCCACTGTCAAGTCAGGAGGAAAAGACACAAAGCCACTGTGTAAAGCTGTGCACACTGTCTGCAGTCCTGTGCTCCCGCAGTGGGAAGGACAGGATGCACCAAACCATTTGACAACATCATTAGAACAAGAGATATTTGATGGTTCTATATTTCACATAACTTGCCACTTGCTGTAGTCTTAAGGCTCCATGTTCTCTGGCTAATAAAGAGAACACCTGTGCATCCTGCACATCTTAAATAACTTTGTTAGTTGATGAAATGCTTTGTGGGTTCTGCATTACATTATATTTTCATGGGCAAAATCCTTTCTTAGTCCAGATTAGAAGTTTTGGAAATGCCAATGACTCCCTTAGGTTACAGCTACCACTTTGCATATTTCTGACAAATTCATGAAAATCAGGAGCCATCCTTAACACTGAAAATGAGGTCTACCCAGAGATGATGCTGAGATCAGAGATTGCCTCAAAAACATGAGTGGCTAGATTTCAAAAATCAGGATGTTATATATTCCAATTCTTCTGCTATTCACTGATAAACCTCAGCCAGAGAGAATACAGAAAAATCACCAACATTTCTGCCAGTTTATTTTTGTGTGTCTGATATTTCATCAGTACTGTGTGGATTCAGCAACATTTGCCTCCTGTCTTGCAGCCTTTTCCTGAAGTTCATTGAAGATGAGGCAGCCCCAGGCTGGCTTGGCTACCTCTATGCCTTCAGCATGTTCCTGCTGGGCTGTCTGCAGACTCTGTTTGAGCAGCGCTACATGTACATGTGCCTTGTGCTGGGGCTGAGGCTGAGAACTGCCCTGACAGGCCTTGTGTACAGGAAGGTGAGCCTGCAGCTCCTTCTTTAGCTTTGCTTTTTTCTAGCCCTACCTTAGCAGTGGTGATGTGCATTGTCCATAGCAGTATCAGGGGAGATGTCATTAGAAACTTGTTTTAGGATGTAGATTCATCTCTGAGCAGTGCATGGCAGGTACATTGTTTAGAGCTTCCCTATGAAGGAAAAGCCAAGAAAAGGAAAGAGCAAAAATCAACATGAACTTTCTTATGCTGTATGTACATGTATAAACAACATGTATTTCTTGTGATGCCTGGGGAAAAGGAATAAATGCTTCATCTTGAAGTGAAGTCACATGGCCCAGGCAGCAGCATGGTTTCAATGCCTGGGATTTGACATTTTGTTCTCTGTGAGGAAAAGAATGTTGTTTGACTTTTGGACCAAAGCTGTTGTTTGATAATGCATTTTCTTTCTTCTCTGCCCTGTCTAGATCCTGGTTATGTCAAATGCCTCAAGGAAAGCAGCAACCACAGGTGAAATTGTTAATCTGGTATCTGTTGATGTGCAAAAGCTAATGGATCTGATTATCTATTTTAATGGGACCTGGCTGGCTCCTATTCGGATTATCATCTGCTTTGTCTTCTTGTGGCAGGTAATATATGACAGTATTTATCAATCCCTTTCTATTCTAAATATCAAAGGAAAATGAGGTTTCAAAATTATACTTACTAGTTTGAATTACATGAAATTGCCATATTTTCCTTAGCTCTGTAGCACGTTGGATTCACTTTTCTTTCTGAAAGATATTTCCATTGATACAGAATCCTTGTCTGATCCTTCAGTTCATCTTCTCCCCTGTGTATTCAGCATTCAGTCCCTTTTAGGAGTCTGTGAGTATGGTTATTGTGAGCTGACTGATAAACTTCTGCTTCAGATTTTCCTGTCACTTCTCTTTACAACCACTGGGTGGTGGCCCAGTGAAGGCTGAAAGTCCAGTTCCAGCTCCTTGGCACAGTCCCAGAACATAATGGGAAATGGTCTGAAATAGCAACTTGACATGCTTCATCCTGAAGCCTGATTACCACAGGATGAGTAAAACAGCTTGAAGCAAAGTTACATGCCATTCAGAGAGACTATTGGATATTTTGAATTTCATAGGTATCAAGTTCAGCAAGGACAGAGCAAAACCTGAATTAGAAATATTGGATGGTAATCTAAAAGATCCATTTTTAATCAATGTACAGTATTTTCTCAGCAGTACAGAGCCCTGTTGTTTAGTCCCTGTTCTTGGCCAATGGAAGCATGAGCAGTACAGAGACAGGTGATTCACAGGAGCTTTCCAGAGGCCTTTGAGGCCTTCCTTTACTACCCAGGCTGGATTGTGCCTGGTACCTGGCAGGATGCTGTGACTGTGAAAATCAGTAGCCCTGGTACACACTGTGGTGAAGTCATCATCTCTTTTCTAATGCCAAGTTGAATGTGGTTGGAGCATAATTACACTTTCTTTGCTGGTGTTCACAGACCACTGGTGCAGACAATACCTGTAACTGTGTGTGTTACTCCCCTCTCCAGCCATCCCTAGGGAGATGTAACTAACCCATGAAAAACAAGTGCTGATACACAATTGTTATGAACCCTGGGATCCAAGAGCTGTCCCAAGATAATGGCACAGGATAATGCCACCATTTCATCTCATGCAGACAAGCTGGGCTATTTATGCTGCAGGAATACTTGGTTGAGGGTTTGGGTTTGTTTTTAAGGAGAACCTGGTGTTGTCCGGGGTCACTTACTCAGGGCAGCCACAAGATGTCCTGAGCGCATCCAGGGAGGGACGAGAAGAGCCGGGCATGGCTTGAATTGCCAGCGTGCCTCTGGATCGCCTTCAGCACCGATCCAGCTCCTAACAAGGGAGCGAATAAATTCAGCACAGCCCGATGACAGGAGTTATCCGCCTTGGAGAGTTAACAATCCACTGTGCTTAGGAGCACAACTCCCTGGAAAGGCAAAGGCAAGGTTGCAGTCAAGGCTTAGCCAGTGGGATGTTATGCACAAGTTCAAATAAGAGGGAAGGTAAGCAAGGGAACAAAAAGCAGTCTTGGCTAGTCATCACCAGAAGTTCCTTCTCTTTTTTCTCTCCTGGCAGCTTCTAGGGCCATCTGCCTTGACTGCAATTGCTGTATTTCTTTTTCTTTTGCCTCTGAATTTTGTGATCACCAAGAAGAGGAGTCAGTTTCAGGTACATTTTGCTTCATAAAAATGAAGTGGTTTACAGAGTTATAAGATGACTTATATTTATTCATACTTACCACAACTGCCTGAAGTAACATAGGAGGATTTGAAGCCTGCAAAATTTCTTGAAATTTAAAATAAGCTCCTCCATGTTCAGCCTTTTTACTATGTTTGCCCTACTTTTCTGTTGTTTTTATGTACTGCCAGTAAAAACAAAGCTCTGAAGATGATAAGTAAAATATTTCCCAGCTTAGAAGACTCATAAGCAAAACAGCATACACAGCTCAACTGCAGGGAAAACCTTTACTCAGGAAAGTAAAAAATTTACAAAAAAAATTTACTCAGGACTTGGAGGCAGGAATAAGGTATTTTTCTTCAGAATAATTGCACCATTAAAAATTCAACCTATTAAATGATAAAACTCAAACATTTATTACAGGAAATCCAGATGAAACATAAGGATGAGAGGGCCAAACTCACCAATGAAATTCTCAGTAACATTAAAGTAATCAAACTGTATGGTTGGGAGAAAACCTTCATGGAGAAATTATTTGGAATCCGAAAGCAAGAACTTCAGGCCTTAAAAAGATCTCAGATTCTCTTCTCAGCATCCCTAGTTTCTTTCCATTCATCAACTTTCCTGGTGAGTGAATCACCTTCCTACATAAAACATATGCTGTTACTTCCCTTTTCCTATGTACTCCTGCCTCACAGACTTTTCCTATGGACAGCTAAAGATTATATCTGCCTGGAGGTCACAGAAGTTGCTGTGGCTGCTGCACCAAAACCTCCTTAAAGCAGAACAAACATCCAGTGATCCAACTTGGCTCTGTCACCAACACACCAGACCACACCTTATCCCTCGAGGGGATAACCTGGATTTAACCAGATGGGTCCCAGAGGCTTGAAGGGCCTGTCACCCCTGAACCATTCTGAAGTGCTTTGCTTGTCCTTTGCTCCCTTTCAGATCACATTTGTCATGTTTGCTGTCTACACCCTGGTGGACAACACACACGTGCTGGATGCTGAGAAGGCCTTTGTGTCCTTGACACTGATCAACATCCTCAACACTGCCCACTCCTTCCTGCCCTTCTCCATCAACGCTGCTGTCCAGGTTAACTGCAGGCCCTGTTCCTCTTCCTTTGGCCATAAGGGGTTTTTACATATCCCCATTATCAGGTAAAGGTAGGGATTTCTTAGGGCTCTGCACATCAGTTGTGTAATTGCCACTGTGAAACAGTGATGTGCAAGGGCTTGCAGCTAAAGGTACTTTGTAGCATTGCTTTTCAGAAAGGCTCCTTTATATTGACAAAATAGTCAACAAAAATTGCTCCTAAGTCTTTAATAGTTCAACACAAGCACCATTAGATCTCAGAGGGGCTTCCAGTTCTGTTTTTAATCACAGAAATCAGAACAGGTGGAACAAAATCTCCATAAGAGGATACCCTGCTAGTCCGGGCTAGAGAAAAAAGCAATTCACTGTTCAGTAAGAAATTAGGAAATTCATTTCCCTCTTACACTCTAAGACTGTCACAGATTTTCATGTACAAAAGCAATCACTGGAAAGATTGCAGGAAGAATTAGATGAAAAAGTGCCAATTTCAGTGAACCAGAAGCACAGGGAAGGGTATGGAGGTTTTGCTAAGCTAAGTGGAAATAAAGGCAGGTAACAGGAAGAGCTGCCTTTGGCCATCTGCAGCATAGCACTAGTCAATATTCTAAGTGGGTCTTCAAACTGAGTCTTTACTTTGGGTTTTTGCTCCCTTTCTACTCTAAATCTTATTTTCTTCTGTGTGCTGCTTCATTTCAGGCCAAAGTTGCCTTAAACCGTTTAGCAGCTTTTCTGAATCTGGAAGAACTGAATCCTGAGAGCTCAAGCAGAAACACTTCTGGCTGTGGTGAACTTTTATGTTAGCACTTTTGTCTTATAAGAGGAGTAATTTCCATTATTCAGCTTCTACTCAGGGTGTCTACCATAGTCAAGAGAAAAATATTTGCCCTTTACTGTCACTTTATCTCTCTAGCCTCATTATTTCTAACAATGAAATCTAATCTGGTGATTTACCCCTTCTTTTCATAATAAAAGTTGATTTTCTGTAACATAAATACACACTGAAACATAAAACCACATAAATTGGGATATTTCTGTAGCTATCTCTGCATTTACAAGTGGTCTGTCTCTCTTCATCTTTTAGTACAGGCAAGTATCACCATAAGAAATGGGACTTTTTCCTGGAGCAAAGAAACTTCTCCTTGTCTTAGAAGGTACAGACTTACCCTTAGTCATCCCTCAATACTGTAGGTCAGGGTGGATCCTGGATGAACTAATTCCTCAGGGCCTAAGTGAAACCAGGGTGGAATATGGAATATCCAGAGGCTTATGAGTTTGCTTCATATTTAGTGTTGAATTCTGAAAATTTTAAAATTAGATAAAACATAATTTTGCTTTTATGTTGAGGAGCACATAAATGGGAAGGTACCTGTATCTGGCTGTTGCCTTATTTTTATGGAGACTGTTTTCTTTATGCAGTTTTCTTGTCCAAATATGAAAATACAGTGATATAAGGCAAAAAAAGTAGAACAGATGGAATGCATATATATATGACATCACTACATGCTTATTTCAAAAGGCATTGACATTTTGTGAAAAAAAATCTTTGAAATGTTCTGATGTTCAGGAGTATTCTACATCCAGGGCTTTGGGCTAGCCTGTCTCCAGAGTGAGGATCTGGGTATGAAACTCAGATGGGGATGTGGATGAAGACTTTGTGGTTGGAGGTGTCTGAAGGGATGAAATCAGGGAATTTATTCGATACATACCCGACAATAGCTTGAATTTTGATAATAAGCACAATTATTTGCTTTCAGAAAGTGTATCTAAAATGTGGTAAGAGATGATCTTTTTCTCCCAGCATAGAGCTGAGTGTGCCCCAGGGCTCTCTGCTGGCTGTGGTTGGCCAGGTGGGTGCTGGCAAATCCTCCCTGCTGGCAGCGCTGCTGGGCGAGCTGGAGGCCACCGAGGGCTGCGTGACCATCAAGGTGAATTTTCCCCTCAGCATTTGCTTCTAATTAGGCTGTTCTCAGCAACTGTAAGGTATGAACCACAGCACCACTTACCTCAAGAAAACCATTTACTGCTGAATTTTAACACAGGCTGTATGTATCAGTCCACATTTAGTTATCTGAAGGCACTTCAGACTTCTCAGATGAGCCTGAACTTTGTGAATAGGAACTGGAACAACACTTCAAAGATCCAGTTCTATTTCTCCCTCTGACAGTGAGCTGAAGTGGTAAATTACATCCTGTACTTGCACCTCTGTTCACTCCCCTGTAAGATAATAACAGTGCAGACTCATATTTTGCAAAGCCTTCTGAGAATTGTCAGTGCTGATGATCATTCCAGATTTCCACAGCTGAGAGAGCTTTTCTTCAAAGATGGGTTCTCACAGTGTCAAGTTGAGCTTATGGAAAAGTTTGCTAACATTCTTCCACTTTTATAGGACACTGCAGCTTATGTGCCCCAGCAAGCTTGGGTTCTAAATGCTTCAGTGGAAGATAATATTCTGTTTGGGAAAGAGATGGATGAAACCTGGTTCAATAGAGTGACAGAGGCTTGTGCACTGCACCCTGATTTGGAGACCTTCCCTGCAGGGCAGAAGAGTGAAATAGGAGAAAAGGTACTGCCTTGGCTTTATGTTTTGGCCAACTTTTCCCTGAGTAGCTACAACTTCAGGTGTCCTGCTTAAAACATCTACCCCTGAGTAACTACAACTTTGGGAGCTGTGATGAAAGCACAAAAAACCTAAACTCACAAGAGGCAGGTGCCCAGGAATTTCTGGAAAATTAGGCCATGATTTAATTTAATTTAAGCCCACCTTCTGACAGCCTAGGAAGAGACATAAGAGATGTTTAAGAGAAAAATCAACACATCCAGGTCATTCTTGGGTGCTGTTTTGGAGGAAAGAGTTGTTCAAGAGACTCTGCCTCTGCAAGAGCCCTATTGGGAGGGAGGTGCACTGATTTAAAAATAAGTCATAAAACATCAGTGTAAAAGGAAGTCAGCAGTTGGAAAACATGCTGTAGCTTTGAAATGAGCAGAGTCAATGTATTTTCCAGGGAATCAATCTGTCTGGGGGGCAGAAGCAGAGAGTGAGCCTCGCTCGGGCCGTGTACCAGCGGGCTGCCATTTACCTGCTCGATGACCCCCTGGCAGCTGTGGATGCCCACGTTGGGCAGCACATTTTTGAACATGTTCTTGGACCCAATGGCTTACTGAAGGACAAGGTGTGTATGAACCTGAACTGTAAAAACTTGCACAATGTCTCTCATAAAATGTTTCCAGTAGGGTGGGTTGCTCAGGTTATCAAGGCTCACAAACACTGTTTTGTAGGGGATTGGGGAACCTCTCTGCAGGCCACACAGCACCTGCCAGTCCTGCAGGGAATCTCATTTAGGAGGAGGAAGGCTGTCATTATCCTCATGCAAACCCCATGCCTAGTGCCAGCCTTACTTTCACTGCAGGTTTACAGTTCTTTGGTCTTGTGTCCACATCTTCCCTCCTTTTGAGATTTATCTCTAGCACAGTTCAGAGGAGCTGCCTGATCTCTTCCAAGTTCTATCACCATCATGTCTAATCTCATTACTTTTGAATAGTTCAGTGGCACCTTTACAGTTCTCATCACTTAAACACTTCTCCTCCATTCTTTTTGCACTGGTTGTGTTTTGTTTTTCCTTGGTATTCCTCTGCTGTCAAGCTATCTGGAAAACAAAACATGGTTACATGAGAAGGAATGCTAGGGCAGCTCTTTTGGATTCATACTATGAATTGCCTAGAAACACTTGATTCAGTTGCCCATTATGGAAGGGAAACAGGAAGAAAGCAATTTCTAGCATTACAAAGTCCAGTTAAAACAAACATATATAATTATACATACCTTTCTCTCCATGAGATTAGTTGCAAGTATCAGAAAATAATTATTGTATTGAAACAGAATGACTTTCTAAGAACAATGTACCAGACATAAGGTGCACTCAAAGGGCTTGACTGTATATTAGAAATGCAAAATATGCCAATTTATCTAAGAAAAAATTACTTTTCTTATATCCTTTCCTCCAATTATGTGTGCAAATATGGTCAGAAATGTAAATAAAAGGAAATACCCTTTAAATCCCTTCAGGCTGATGAATTTTTGAGGCCTGAATTTGATCCTGAAATACTGATACCAGTGCTGACAGCAGAACAATTGTAACTGCTTCCTCTTTATCCAAGCAGACTCGTGTGCTGGTAACTCACACAATTAACATTTTGCCTCAAGTGGACAATATTGTTTTTCTGGTGGATGGAGTGATCTCAGAATCTGGTTCCTACCAAGAACTTCTACAGAGAAATGGAGCCTTTGCAGATTTTCTTCATTCACACGTTACTGCAGAAGAGAAGGCACCTGCTGGTTTTCCAGGTAACCCAGATGGGTTGGAATCATTCTTCCTAGGTCTATCAATCAATTGTTCCCTTCATATCACATCAGTTTTATTATGGACATTTAAAACAGAGATCCAATCACAGTAAGGTGTTGCTTTGTGTGGGGAAAAACATGCCTATCAAATCAGCTGACTCATCACCTCAAAATTGATTTTTGAATCCATATTAGTAAACAATAATCAAGCAGTAAACTGTTACCCACTGTGTGTGCTATTCTTTGAGCCTCACCTTGATATTTTTACCTTTAGAAACAATTTTTAAATGAATCTTTCCTCCATATATTCTGAGTCTTTCAAAGGCTGTATAGGACAAAACAGGATTATAAAGCCTTTAGAAATACATTTATTTCACAGCTATGGGAGACACCAAAGGCACTATCACCACTGAAAATGGTCCATCTCAGCAGAAACCCCTCAGGTAAGCTTAAAGCAATCTCAGATACTGAAGAGTTTACTCCAAAAGCCCATATAAGCCTAGATAGAGGCTCTTACTGAGTATGATAGAGGTTTGGGGTTGATCTGTAAATAAATAACAAGAGCAAACAAGCAAAACTCAAGAATAGCTAAAAACCTGCTCTTGAGTGTAGAAGTTGACTGACAATTCTTCTGTATTTCACAAGGAGGCACAACAGAGATCAGGTACAGGCTCCTTGATACATTTGGTTCCCTGTGGGGCTGTAAGGCCAGACTGATCCCAAACCAGCCTCAGTGAATGCTTTTTTCTGCTCCTCAGTGGCTTGACAGAGCCCAGTCCTTGTGACAAACATGGACAGTGGCTGGGGACACTCTGGAGGAGCCTGAAAACTGCAGCCCTCAAAATAGGCATGTATTTAAAGGTGGATGGGTGGCTAAAAATTGAAAGGATTTTTGTTTTCTTCATCAAGTGGTGATTCAGTAAAATCTGCTGTGGGAAGAGAGACCACTCCTGTGAGCCCAGCCTGCACCAGTGCTGCAGCCAGCAGTGAAGGATTAACCAAGGCAGAGAGAACTCAGCACGGCAGGGTAAGCACAGCAGCACCTTCCTGCAGAGGCAAGGACACATTCCATGGGGATAACACACCCATGGCAGGCAGGCCAGCTCCCTGCCTCAGCTAAACACAGCCAGGGCAGGCAGCTGGGCTGTTCCAGTGTGCCCTGTAATGGAGACAAGGACATACCATACTGAGAGGAAATGAGAGCAAGAAGTCAGCAACCCCAAAAGGGGCAGCTTTTTCTTTGGGGAGCCCCGGCACTAGCCAGACTGGGATCTCCTCTCCCCAGTTCTGTCTCACACCAGCACACAGGAAAACCACTGCCTGACATAAAGAAAGCCTTACATGTACTCCAGAAGTAACATGAGCCTATTGCATAACATTGATCAGTTGATAATAATCATTCATCAGTGATTTCTTTATGCCTTCGTTACTCATCCATGAGGAAAACAAAACAAGAATCAACACGGTTGCTGTGACTGTGACAGATCACTGAGAAATCCCATTATAAATCACTCCTTGCTTCAGAGCTGCTATTTTAGCTAACAACCTCCTCTCCTCTGTCTGCCCACGTGTCTCTGCAGGTCAGGGCTGGGGTGTATGGAGCCTACCTGCAGGCAGCAGGCCGGGTGCTGTGTGTGTATGTGCTGCTGTCCTTCACCTGCCAGCAGGCTGTGGCCTTCTCCAGGGGCTACTGGCTCAGCCTCTGGGCAGATGACCCCGTGCACAATGGGACACAGCAGCTCACAGAGCTCAGACTTGGAGTCTTTGGTGCTTTAGGAGTGGTTCAAGGTGTGTTGAAGTTGCTTGGCTAATTCTCTGTATTCCCAGCTCCCTGTCCCATATCCAGGATGTGTTCTCAGAATATAAACAAGTGCATACCCTTGGGCTTTCAGCTTCCTGGGCTTTTAGTCCCAACCCTAAAGGTTTTTCTTTTTTATCTCTTTTCATCCTTCCAGCAAAAATTAATCATGTCAAAGTTCAAGTGGGGCTCGTCTCCATGCTGAATTGTTGCCCCTCACACTGCTACACTGAATGAAATCTTGGCTTAGGTCACATAAAAGAGACAAAAGAAGAGAAGCTTCTGGACTTCTACATTTATCTTTTTCCTTTTTAAATAGCCACCATTCTTTTGATCACTCTATTTAAAAAGAAAAAAATATCACTGAGTAATTTAAAGTAATCCCAGTCAAGCTTATTTTGTGATGAATGAATAATTTGTCCTGCATGTTTTAAGTTCCTGAATCCATGCCCCCCCTCAAGCTGGCTTAGAAGGTCTTTGGCACTCTGTAACTACCCTACAGAAAGGGCAGCTTACCCTGCAACTCTGAGGCTTGGTTTAATTCCTGCTGAAGAGAGGTTTAATTCGTGTTGCACCTTCCTGAATGCACACTCACAGGAGTAATGGGAAATCACCATCCTTCTAAGAACTCCAAAGTGGGTTTGTTTAGACCTAGTAATAATAATTTCTTTTCTCTTACAGCCCTTGGCAGGTTTGCCTGCACAGCAGCAGTGCTGCTGGGGGGTGTGTTGGCCTCACACCAGCTCTTCCTGCAGCTGCTGAGCAATGTCATGAGATCCCCAATGCTCTTCTTTGAGCAAACACCCACTGGACAGCTGCTGAACCGCTTCTCCAGGGACATGGATGCTGTTGATTCTGTCATCCCTGACAAGCTCAAGTCTGTGCTGGGATTCTTGTTCAACTTACTGGAGATCTACCTGGTGATTGTGGTGGCTACACCATGGGCAGCAATGGCCATAGTAGCCTTGACTGTTCTTTATGCAGCATTCCAGGTAGGAGCTCACAGGTGCACACAGGAGAGGCTGAAGCAGCACAGCCCTGCAGAAAGCCTCCTTCCAGTTCTTAGGAGGGAAGGCATGCAGAAATCAGTTTCATCATCTCAAGTTGCATCTGAGCAAGAGTAATGTCAGTCCCTTTCCCACATCACCTCAGCCTTCCAAAGCACCCCATGGCCCTCACAAAGAGGCTTATGCTTTTCTGATGTCTAAAACAAATCCTAGCTAGGCTATATCCCTCATCTCCATTAGTGTGAATCACATGAAGACCAAAAGCATTTTTCCTTTCCTGCAGAATTCCTATGCTACTTTTTAATATATCCACATTTGCCAGCCAAGACTGAGCATTAGGGAAGGGCAAGTACACCTCTGTTCTCCATGGGGCAAAGAGCTCAGCTGCAGGAGAAACTGAGTGTAGAGGTTTTGTGGGTTCACAGCACCCTGGCTCCTTTGCCTCAACCAAATTAGGAATATTAGGAATTAGGAATAGTTAGGATTATCCCTAATAAAGGCAGGACATAACAGAGGTAGGAACACTGCCTCATCTTTCAGGGGCACATCCTGCATGCACATAAGGTTTTGTAACACAAGGACAGTACTACTGCACTTGTTGAGGCCTTCCCAAATTTCCTCTGGAGTACCTCCATAGAAACACAAGCCTTCTAATGACTGTCCCTTCCTTTCCCCTTGTCCCAGCACTTCTATGTCAGCACCTCCTGCCAGCTGAGGCGCTTGGAGGCTGCCAGCAGGTCACCCATCTACTCCCACATCTCAGAAACCTTCCAAGGCAGCAGTGTGATCCGTGCTCACAGAGACCAGCACAGGTTTATTTCAAAGTGCAATTTCCTAGTGGATGAGAACCAGCGAATTTGCTTCCCTGGAGCTGTTGCTGACAGGTACAAATCTGCTCCATGAGTGTTCTGCAAAGAAATCCTGTTTTGGGAGAAAGGGAGAGGGCACCCAGCAACAGCTCTATGCTCCCTCCTCCTGCAGATGGCTTGCTGCAAACCTGGAGTTCCTGGGCAATGGCATCGTGCTGTTTGCAGCCCTGTTTGCAGCCATGGGCAGGACACAGCTCAGCCCAGGAACTGCTGGCTTCTCCCTTTCCTCTGCTCTCCAGGTAACCCAGTGGGAAAATAATACCATGCTTGCCTTTATCAAAAGCAACTGCATTTTAATTTCTGTTATGAACTATTTCTGTGCCTTTTTAGATGCCTTTTCCTACCAAATCCTGCTGTCATAGCTGAAATCCAGAGCATCTGGAGCACATGGCCCCTTAGGGAAAGAAGCTCATAAACACATGCATGGGGCCATCTTCCTCCTCCTACACCTGAACTCACAATATAAGTCAAAGCAAGCCCTGGGCAGCTGAAGCAAGGTCTTCAGAACCTGTCTTACCTGCTTGTAGACTAGTTGCACAAGAGCCTAAGAAATAGCTACACCATCTTTGAGCATCCAAGTCAGTAGCATTTCATTCTCTATAAACATGCCAAAAGGGCTATGGCAGGACCTGGCTTTCACTTTAGCATTTTAAGGTTTTCTGATGTAATCTAATTGCTGATATAATTATCTGATGAGGAGATCTTTAGAAATAAACACTAAGACAAAGTACCTGGTATTTCCTGAGCACAGATCAGGGCTCATTTTGTCTGCCCTAATGCTTGTGTTCCTCTGTGGCAGATAACTGGTGTTCTGAACTGGATGGTTCGCTCCTGGACAGAAGTAGAGAACAACTCTGTTGCTGTGGAGAGAGTGAGGGAATACCTGAGGACTCCTAAGGAGGTAGCTAACCCACTGCTGACCTTACCAGAAGGGGCTGAACATCTCTGCAAACTCAATGAGTAACTTTCCTGTTCCACCTGAAAAACCTCCAGTTTTCCCCTTCTAAAAGGGCTAGTCATGTTTCCTTTAGAGAACTGCAGCATTTGGGGTTTATCCAACTGACTGGACTTGTTTTATAACCTCAGATCATTATTTCCTTAAGACAGTTATGCACTGGATTGCCATTAAAATAGCTTCACTTGTTAACACTCATGGAATGAGACATTTCCTGCCCATATTTGGAGTATTTATTATGTGACTTCAGATGCAACTTACTGATAAGTAATGGCTCCTAGATAGCCTTTTAACTGCTAAAAGTCTCCAGTGCAATATTTTTTGTTCTGTAATCATTAAAATTATATCTCCATATGCTGCCCTGAGAGAGGAGGCTTTCACAGCCCTGTTTATAGGAGCATATAAATTTTTTTTATTGAACCACTCAGTTTCAGAACTCTGACATGCAAGCAAACGTTCATCCCCATTTTCAGTAAAGAAAATCCAACCAGCAATTTGGGATAAAGTAAAAACAACATCTGCACTATGAAAGTTAGAGGCCTTTTTTGGTTTGGAAGCTGCAAAGAGATTGGGGGCAGTTGGCATGGGTGTCTTCATGAACTTTCCATTCCAACATTGACACTTGATTGGCAATGCTGGAATGGGAAGCTCATGGAAGACACCTGTGGGTAATTTAAGTTTATGAAGACACCTTGATTGGGTAATTTAAATCAGCCTTCAACACTGCTGTTTTCTTCCATCTCTTCAGGCACCCTGGACTCTGAATGGCAAACTTCAAGGGCAAGTTTGGCCCACTGAGGGGAGGATTGAATTTAGGAACTACAGCCTGTGCTACAGGCCAGGTTTGGAGTTAGCACTGAGGCGTGTCAGTGTGACCATCAACGGGCACGAGAAGGTAAAAACCACTCCTGGAGCAGTGTGAGCAGAGCTGGGCTCTGCCCAGATCCAGGCATCCAGCCCCTGCCTGCACCCAGCTACAGCAGCCTGGCAGCTGCAGGGAAGCAGGAGCCCATCTCCCACGCTGCACACCTTGTCCAGCTTATTACAGCAAAGGAATTCTACTTTTTCAGTCTAGTTCCACATCAAGGCCCTGTTCAAACTGCTAAGTCTTGTAATTATTCTTCCCTTCAAAGCCTTTTGTGATTCCTTTTCTTACCAAACAATTGTGAGCTATAAATGATTCCATGTAAAGAAAGTATTGCCAGATTGTGTGAATCACAAACAGCCCTAAAGATCTGATCTGTGCAAAGCTCTCTCCCATCAAAAGGCCAAGAGGAACTACACAACATGTCTGTCCACCTGTGAGAAAGCAATTAACTTCCAAACCAAAGTCCTCCCATTGCATTTTCAGATTGGCATCACTGGCAGAACAGGAGCAGGGAAATCCAGCCTGGCTGTGGGCTTGCTGAGGTTGGTGGAAGCTGCAGAAGGAGCCATCCTCATTGATGGACAGGACATTGCCCAGCTAGGTCTGCATGACCTCAGGACCAAGATCACTGTCATTCCCCAGGTATGAAACTCATTTCCAAAATATTTGAGCAGTGTCTTGAACACCTGGGAAGGGTTTATAAAGATTCTGTGAGAGGAGGGACACTGAGCAATTTCCAAGCTGGAAATAACCTCTATGGCATGTTCATCTGCTATTCAATATAACATCAGCCACAGATTCCCACCCAGCAGGCAGGACCCAAGAGCTCATTTTTATAATTCATTTCAGGAGTTGTTTGTACTGTCTCTGTGCTCAGGATCCAGTTTTGTTTTCTGGCTCCCTAAGAATGAATCTCGACCCATTAAACCAATACACTGATGCAGACATCTGGACAGCTTTGGAACTGACTCAGCTCAAGAACTTTGTTGCAGATTTGCCAGAGCAGCTGGAATATAAGTGCACTGACCAAGGGGAAAACCTAAGGTACCTTTCTCTGCAGAAGGACAGTGGCAGGGCAGTGCCAGCCCTTGGGCTAGGAGAACAGAGCTGGTTGGATAACGAGGCTAATTCCTTTTAAAAAAAAATCATTAATGATGTCCAGACTGAAAATTGGTGCTTTACTGTCCTGTTTAGCAGCATGAAATCAAATCCTAAGACACTCAGGAAGACCTTTCAGACCCAATAATTGTGCTGGTTTCTATTTGTGCTGTACCTAAAAACCTACAATCTGTTTCAAGTGCAGCTCTTCTGGGTGCCATAGCAATACCTTCCCCTCCCTCCCTGAGGCTGTTTCATGCTGTTACCTACCTGCAGTGCCACCAGCCTCAATCACCCTTTCAGAGAAAGGGAACAATCACCTTTTCATTACTGATTTCAAATGAATCATCTGTTTTGACCCCTAGGAAAAGTGACTACTGGCCTCAGTTTACCATCTCTCTTCCTACTTGCAGCACTGGTCAGAAACAGCTGCTTTGCCTGGCCAGAGCACTCCTGCAGAAAGCCAAAATCCTGGTTCTGGATGAGGCCACAGCAGCAGTGGATGTAGAGACTGATGCCCAGATTCAGTCCATGCTGAGGGCTCAGCTCAGGGACAGCACCGTGCTGACCGTGGCTCACAGGGTGAACACTGTCCTGGACTGTGACAGGTGAGGACACCTCTGAGCAGGGGAGCCCTTGGGCAGCTGCTGTGACTGACACCCCACTGTGCTGCTGTACAACTCCATTTCTGTCCTCTTCATGTTTAAACCTCCAAGCTTTGCTTTGGCATTTGGAGGATCTCTGTTAAACCAGCAGGGCAGCAGCAGGTTAATCACAGATCCTTTACTCCCAGAGCCTTTCCTGCTGTGTCACAGCCCTCTCCACCCCTACTGACAGCAAAACCATGACTGCAGCTCCTTGGTCACCTGAGAGTAGTGACACTAAAACACCCAATACCCCTTCACAAATCTCACTCCAGTCTCAGCTGCAAAAACCCCTCCTCCCAAACTCAGCACTTGAACAGTCACTCATCAGAAACCCTTTCCATCCCAGCACTGCTTCCCAGCTGAAAAGCTGTTGGAAAGCTTGGCTGAATAACCAGCAAGTACTGGAATTTATTTTAAAACTAACTGGAAATTAGTAGGTTTATTATAGGTGCTGGTATAATCCCAAACTTACACTTCTTTTATTGTTCACAGGATTTTAGTCTTGGAAAATGGCCGGGTAGCAGAATTTGATACTCCAGAACACTTAATAGCTCAGAAGGGACTGTTCTACAGACTGATGGAAGAATCAGGCCTTGCATGACTCACCCATAGCACCACCACCATCAGGAATAATTGACCTCATAATTGAGTTATTTTGGTTTCTCTCAAAAATGCCTGACACTCAACCAGAGCTTGTTTGAGCCAGAACTGCAGTGAGTAGATGGAAAGGGGTAACTTGGGATACATGTTATTTCCATAGGAAACTCAGCAATTCCACTTCCATCATGTTTCCAGAGTCCAAAACCTCACCTGATTGCTGAAAACAAGCCAGTCAGGACTTAAATACTTTTCTGGTATAAAAGCAAACAAGTCAAAAGAGAAAGACCACAGCATTCCTAATTTATACTGTAAATGGAGCCCAAATATCTATCATACTTCAAGATTACACAGATTATTTTTAAAAGCCAAAAAGATTTTATGGACAGCAAGGAAGAATTTAACTGGTAGCAAGGAAACTTAACTGTTTGCAGTTGATGCTAAACTCCAGGCAGAACTAATGTTGTGTTTTGTCAATGTCTTAAGGACTGCTCAGCCAGGCACTGTTCCTACACAGCTGTGGACTCCAAGGCAGCTGGAGCTCATCATCCAAAGTGCACAAACACTGGGGCAGGAGAGCACAGGCTGCCTTTGTCCCCCTGGGGATCAGATCCACCCCTCCCTCTGCAGAGCAGAGCCAGCTCCAGCAGGGGCTCAGCACTGCAGGACAGCACCGTGGCAGAGCATCCATCACTCCTGAACAGGGCTTGGAGCATCCCCACTGCCAGGTGCTCACAGCAGGGCATGTCCAAACATTGACACCAGCATTTCCAAACTGAATTTGGCCATGAGGAATTTGCAAGGTTGGAAGTGCTCACCTCTCTGATCCCTGCAGCACACGAGGAAAGCAGCAGGAGCTCACCTGTTGACCTGATGGTTCATTCCTGGTTTTCCTCTTGAGTGCAAGTTGACTCCTGCATGTGCCACCTGGTGCTGCAGAGGCTCTGGCATGGTCACCTGTCAGATGTTGCTTTAACAAACCAAAACAGAAGCAAAAGCTTCCTGGGCTTCCCACAGTGTCTGTGGCAGAGCTGTGCCCAGGTCTCTCCTCAGGAATCACAGCATGACAATGTGACAGTCCAATAAACACTGGTCTTTACTGTGACTTTTGATAAAGCACCCATTTTCTAGAGAGCTGAAATTAAAACAGAATCAAGTATTTAAAAGGGTCTCTTGAGTAAACTAAAGCAAATATAACACAGAAAGGGGCAGCGGGGAGGGGATGGGAGAGATCCAGCTGCAAGAATCAACCCAGACTGGCAAAACCCAGCAGTTCCTGCTCCAACAGTTGCTCAGTGGCTTCTGCACCCAAGTCAAGAACAGTTTAGAGTTTCTGCTGGACAAGTGCTTGAGATCTGGAGGTCCAGTGCCTGCTGCTGCTCAGGTACCAGGAGAAAATTATTTTCCTCTGCTCTCTCCAGCTCTCATACTTGAGGACACAAACAAAACAATTCCAAACCCAGATACAAGAACACTCCAAAGGGTTATCAATGGATCTCAAAACCAGGAGCATTTAGAAATACTGAGACAAAAGTTGGGTATTTTTCCTTTTTAACTAAGGCAAAGAGGAACAGAATTGCCCATGTTGCTGGGTAATTCTGAAACAGACACCTTAACATTCCATAATCTCCAATATAAACATCTTTAAATGCTCATTTTCTGTTCCTAAGGTAAAGAGGGAAGGCAACAGGAGACAATAATCAAAACATCCTTTCCCACTGGTAACCTTTGAAAGGGCACAGTTTTGCTGTCAGCTAACCCAAAGTAAGAGGAAGCAAAAATATCATCAGCTTTCACACATCAAGTTGTGCTGCAAAGACAGAAGAAAAGCAACTCCCCAAATTACATATGAAACATCCATCATGTTTCAGGTGTGCTGGAGTCCCCAGGGCTCTGTCCAAGTACTGTGATGAATCTGGAGCTCAAGTCTCACAGAAATTATCTGGAAGTTGATAAAAGCAAAATATATAAAGGAGTTAACACCTGGAGATACCATGTAGGAGAGCAATGCTACCTTAAAAAATCCTTGTCCCACGATTCCAAGTTTAAGGCAATACTGAAACTGCTAAAGCCAGAAAACAAATCAAAATGTCATGCATTGATTTACACCAAGTTCAGGCCATACATGTACTGTGCAAGTCACACTCCCAGTGCCCCAGATGGTCACAAGACACACAAGGAATGCCAAAATGTTAAAGGTGTCAGTGACCCCAAGCACAGTTGTTGCTGTGCCACATCACTGTCACACCGCAAAAGGATCTTTGGGTGGGTCAGGACTGGGAGCACTTACAGGAGGAGCTCTGCTCACACACATCAATTAGGGTGGTTTTTGCAGGTCTTCTGAAAATTCTGAGCTGTTTCTTTGGCAGAATCAGCTTTTCCAGATGTGAGCAATCTTCCATGTTGCAGTAAATAATGTCAGCCCAGAGACATCAATGTGCACTGAAATCAGATACAGTAAATTCAACTGTACAGCAGCTCCTCTCCCTCTTCCCTGCCAGGACTGGGGTGGAAGGGGAGGATCACAGTGTTCCTGGAGGATGACTGTTCCCAGGCAGGGAAGGTGTCTCAGTGGCATTGACAGTTCCTCCCTGGGTCTCTGCAGGGAGCTCCATCTCCACCTGAATGTACCACACCAGCCCAGCCCTCAGCACAGAGCCCCTGTGCTCTGCTCCTATAACCATGTGCTCCAGGCATCATCCCACCCTTCTGCCCACCACAGTGCTGAAGTGTCTGGGGATTTAAAAACTGTAACGCACAGCTCATCCCCAAACTCCCCAGTCAGCCCCTGCTCCTTCCATTTCCAGAGAAAACTCACACCAAGCTCAGGAGCTGTGGCAGCCACAGCCCATGGACACCATGGGGGTGACAAAGTCCTCAGCACTGGGGCTCCTGCTCTGCTCAGCCTTCATTATCACCTGATCAGTACCACTAATTTCTACTTGCAAGGCAAAAAGCTGAACTGACAAAGCAAACCCTTTGTCAAACACAAGGCAAGAAATAACACATTTTCTTTCAAACAATTTTTTACTGCAAGTTCTTTGCAAATATTTGCATTGTCATTACAAAAAATACCAAACAAATTTTCAGTCTATTCAATTTCAGAGTGTCATAATTTACAAAAAAATAAATAGCTTTACTCTAAGGACAATCGTCTAGTATTAAGGTCAGCAATATCAATCACAGAAGTCCACATTCTCAGTGCTGAGTATCTGGATCCATCTGACTTAGTTTGCTTTCTTCCAGCACTTTCCTTTAAAATAAGACTAATCAGAACATTAGAAAAGTAACTTTTTTCTTACCACAAAAAGCTGAAAATTCAACATAGATCTTGAAAACCAGACTCCGTTGCCATTTTAATTGTTAGACCCTTCCGACACAAAACTTTAAAAATGCTTTTTTTTTTTTAAACAACTGCAACATAACATTTTCCCACAAAAATGTAAGAGTCAACAGCAGCAGCAGCATGGAGGGCATGTTTCTTTGATATAAGGCTAATGGTCCTTGATGCGGCAGAGCTGCTGTGAAAGCACACAACTACCAAAGCCAAGGGTGTTACAATCAAGGTCAGGCAAACCCTCCCTGCTCAGCCCTGTCCCCACAGGTGTCCCCAGCACTGGGCACCCCAGTGGGGGTTCCTGAGGGAGCTGGGGGTGACATCAGCACACAGCAACACACCAGCTGCTGCACAGTTTGGTTCTGGAGTGATTGTCATCCCAGACATGCTGGGACACTGCTCTGAAGTTGACTGTGCTTTTCCACATCAGCACTGCTGACATGGCAGTGGACTTGCTGCTCTGTGCTGTAAACACATGAAACCTTTAGGACAATGCATAAAGCATTAACCATGTACAGTAAATGCCATCAGGAGAAAGTCTGGCACATGTTTTATTTCACAAGAAGAAAAATCTTTGGACTGTAGTACTTTATGCCACAAAATGTTCCAAGTGCATCCCACAATAGATGGCTCATTAAATGAGAAATCCACAAACAAGCAAATAACTAGCATTTGCAAAAATGTTTTCAACAAAAAAAAAAAGGGAACTTCAGAACATAAAAGAGATGAGAAGAAAAAGCTTTTCTGAATTTCTCTGATGAATCACTCGGCCGTACATGTGAGTGTATAATGACAGATTTCAGGCAAAAAATAGGAGTCTCTGAAGTGTCTTCCACAGTGTAGGAGCTTCTCCTAAAGGTGGCTAAAATCAATACTAAGGAGAAATAAAAAATAAGGAAAAATTGCATCTTTATGTTGCTTCCACTGCCACGCTCTGGCTAACTTCACTGTGCCTGAAACTCAGCTGGGTGGTTCAGTCCAGCTCAGGGGAAGTTACTTTTGGAGAACTGTATCACCTCCCTCTTCCCCACAGTAAATAGCCAAGTCCAAGTGCTACACCAAGCCTGAATCTTTGGCCATGCTATAGAAAATGCCTTTTTCCTGAAGTAGTTGGTCTGGGGTACCACACTCCACCACTTCTCCTCTCTCCAGGACTAAAACTCTGTAAAACAAGGCAAGGAAAAAAAAAAAGGAAAATAGTCACAAGAAGATCCAGAAAGCCAGTGAATATGGGTATATGTGTACAGGCAGAGACTGCAGCATAGCCATTATCTGCAAGTGCTGACAGTGGAACAGGCTGAGGTGCTCACTGTCCCTCCCCAGCTCTCTGCAGATGGTCTGTGTGGTGCCTTGTTTACAGAGCACATGGTCACCCAGCCATCTGCAGACACAGCACATGGTCACCCATCTCCTCCTGCTCAGGAGGCTCTGGAGTGCACTCTGAGCCAGCCAGAAGCGAGCTGGCAGCACCTCTTGTCCAGGTGTGTGAGGGCCTGCAAGACCTCGGGTAACCTTCCCTTAACACCCCTCCACACCAACTGCAGCTCCACAGCTTCTGTGACAAGCAAAAACACCCAGCTGGCACAAGGAAGTGCACCAGGTCAGCTGGAGTGTTCCAGCTCCCCCATGGATGGAAGCACTGCAGAGATGGTCACCACCAAGGCAGG